GACAACGCCATGTTTAATTCTGAAGTCCAGGCATTTTTTGTGTTTGGTGACCGATGACAAAATTCGAGTGAGTGATGTCACCGTGGAAGATCATACGAGCTGTCAACCTGTTGAAGCCTGCGAGGTCGGCCCACAAGCCCCGGCCTCGCGTGCTCACAAAGGCCGGATTTGAGCCATGGCAGGCGGGAGGACCGGGATGGAGGGATGGAGGGTGGAAACATATTTTTTAAATAATTTATACAATACAATACAACGTTATTTATAAAGCACTTTAAGACAACACTGATGGCCAAAGTACTGTACACTAACACATGCAAACATAAAAACTATGAACTCAACAAATACCATAAAAGTAATGAAATACCAAATCATAAAACAGCAAACAGTAACAACAATAAAACAAATAACAAAAAACAATACAACCAACTTTTCAAGCTGCGTTAAAAGCCAAAGAGAAAAAAATGAGTCTTCGGAGCAGATTTAAAAACAGGAAGTGAGTCAGCTTGTCTGACGTGCAGAGGCAGCTCGTTCCACAGTTTAGGGGCAGCGACTGAGAACGCTCGGTCACCTCTCAGCCTCCTGTTTGACTTTGGGATGGCCAACAGCAGCTGATCTGCTGACCTGAGAGAGCGTGAGGGAATGTACGACTGGAGAAGGTCGGACAGATACTGTGGGGCGAGACCATGAAGACATTTGAATACAAACAAAAGAACCTTAAAATTAATCTGGAAACGAACTGGGAGCCAGTGTAGTGATTTTAGGACAGGGGTGATGTGCTCTCGTTTTCTGGTGCCAGTTAAAAGATGAGCAGCAGCGTTCTGAACCAGCTTAAGTTGAGTCAGTAATGACTGGCTCAGACCCGCATAAAGTGAATTACAATAGTCCAGATGAGTTGTGATGAAATCATGGATTAAAATCTCAAAATTATGTTGTCACAGGAATGGTTTCACCTTGGCCAGTTGTCTCAGGTGATGAAAGCTGGACTTGACCACATATTTAATCTGAGCATCCAGTTTAAAATCCTTGTCCAGCCTCACACCCAGGTTGGTTGCTGTCTCAGTCAGATGTTTGGTTAAACGACCCAGATCAACATGGACTTTAGAACCATCACTGGGCTTAAACAACAAGACCTCTGTCTTTTTCTCATTAAAGTGTAAAAAGTTCTGTGACATCCATGCGCTGACTTCTGCCATACATTCCAGGAGTTGGTTCGAGGAGTACTGTTTATCTTGTTTCAAAGGAACATAAATTTGGCTGTCATCGCGTAAAAATGAAAAGAAATACCATGTTTCCGGAGAATACATCCCAGAGGTAGTAAATCAAGGGAAAATAGAAGGGGGCCAAGTACAGATCCCTGAGCTACTCCACATGTGAGAGGTGCTACAGAGGACTCCACAGAACCAAAGCGCACACAAAAGCTTCTCTCAGTTAAATAGGATCTAAACCACTGTAGAGCAGGACCCTGAATGCCCATCCAGTTCTCCAGGCAAGACAGGAGGATCTGATGGTCCACTGTGTTGAAGAGAGCAGTTAGGTCCAGCAGCATCAAAATTGCACAGTGACCAGAGTCTGTGGCTAAGAGAATGTCGTTAAAAACTTTCAACAGTGCCAACTCAGTACCGTGGTGAGTTTTAATTGAAACAGTTCAAGAAGGTTGTGGTTGTTTAAGTAAGATGTTAACTGACTATAAACTATTTTCTCCGAGATCTTCGACACAAAGGGCAGTTTAGAAATATGCCTAAAATTGGACATGTCTATAGAGTCAAGAACTGTTTTTTTTTAATCAGTGGTGTCACAACTGCATGTTTAAAACTCGCTGGTACCTGTCCACTTGCCAAGCTGCCATTTATGATTTGGGACACAAAAGGAGCCATCGTGTGAAAATCCTTTTTAAAAAGACGAGGTGGGATAGATCGTTTGGAGATCCAGCAGATTTCATACAACCAGTAATGTCTTTTAAAAAAGGCAGGGTGACAAGCTCAAACTGATTGAAAACTGCAGAGCATGTGACAGAGATGGAGGGGTCAGAAGAAGGAGGGCTTATGAGAGCTCTAATGCTTGCAACCTTGTTGGTAAAAAAAGCTCAGGAAGTTCTCACACACTCCAGTGGAGTTCTCCAGGCTGGCTGATTGTGGGGCATTAAGAACAGAGCTGATGGTTTTAAAAAGCACACGTGGATTCTTAGAGTTGGTGGAAATTATGTCAAATAATTTTTTTTTCAGCTCTAACAGTGGACTGATAGAAACTCCAGCTGTCCCTCAGTGCTTGGAAAGACAGCAGTAACTTGTCCTTCTTCCATTTTCGCTCTGTTCTCCTGCACTGGTGTCTGGCAGCACTTGTGACATCATCAGTCCAGGGGTCAGTCTTCGGTCTAGAAGTTTTTATCTTTAAAGGAGCCACAGCATCTAAAACAGTCTGACAAGATGAGTTAAAATGAGAGGAGAGAGCTTCAACATCTGAACAAGGACCCACAGGATCCCAGGAGCTGATGGCAGAACTAAAAGCTGCAGAGAACAGCAGCAGTGGAGGAGTTAATGACCCGACAGGGCTGTGCAGGAGCGCGAGGTTTGACTGAGTGACAGACAAGTGGCATGTCAAACACAACAGGCATGTGGTCTGAGAAAGCAGTATCACACACTTCCAGATTAGAAACATTAAAACCATGAGCTAAGACAAGATCTAATGTGTGGCCACATTCTTGTGTTGGACCAGACACAAACTGAACAAAATTAAAAGAATCAATCAGCTGTAAAAAATCTTTGACCAACGGTTTGTCAGCACAACACACGTGGATATTAAAATCTCCAGTTATCAATATCCTGTCATATTTAGGCAGGACTCCTGCCAACAAATCTGCAAAGTCACTCATAAAGTCCTTGTTGTATTTTGGAGGTGTGTATAAAACACCACACAGCACCCGGTGTGAAAATCCGAACTCAAATAAGTTGAACTCAAAGCTGAAATCCTTCAGAAAAAAAGGTCTTGTTAGATAGCAATCTAGCATTAACCAGGGCCATGTGAACATGAGATGGAGCGGGAGTGATGTAATCCATCCGAGGAGCTCTGTTCAACAGCCGCAGGTTGTGATGATTCACCCCACGCGCATATAGGTGGGGGAGGGTGAGGCAGCGCACAGGCTGCCCCCCTCCCAGGCCGACAACAGGTACCAGAGCCGGGGTGTAATCCATCCAAGGAGCTTGGTTCAGCAGGTTGTGATGATTCACTCCGCGCGAGCGGAGTTGGAGGAGGGAGAGGCAGCGCGCAGATTGTCCCTCACATAGGCCGACAGTAGGAACCTGAGAGGAGCTGATAGGATCCGAGGAGCGCCACAGGATGAAACTATTAGATGCAGCTCCAAACCCAGGAGAGAGAGCAGACAACGCAAAACAGGCATTCAGTCTGACCAGCTGGCCGCTGTGTTTCCCGCGGCGTTTGCGCCCTCTCCGTGCAGGTGGAATGAGGGTGCGGCACAGGTAGGATGGCACATCTGACAGAAATGGAGGGAAATCATTTTCTGGTCCTCTTGCACAAACAAAGCCAAGTTATTAGTCAAGTCAAGTCACATTTATTTATATATCCAAAAAAGTTCAATCTGGTCCTCTGGACATTCAAAAAAACAAGAAAACACAAAAAACAAAAAACAAAACAAAGCAAAAAAAAAATTAGAAACGTTTCGTCTCTCATCCGAGAGACTTCCTCAGTCTGAGGTGCTGTATTCAGCTCAGTCTCTTAAATAGCACCTTCTCAGAGTGGATCAAAAAGTTTGCTGCTGACAACCAAAACCAGCTGCTCACATGGTCAAGAAGGACCATCAGTCTAACAATGGATCATTAGCATACTGATGGCTGTTTACAATTCACCGGGGGTTGAGTGATACTAGCAATAACAGCAGTGTAAGAGGGGGACAGTTGAACCCGGAGGCCTCCACCCCTGTTTAATGATGGACAGACAAATTCTTTTCACAAAGATGGCCTCCTTTACTCCTCTCTCAAACCATTTTTCTTCTCTGTCCAGAATGTGAACATCTTCATCCCTGAAAGAGTGACAGCTGGCCTGGAGATGAATGTAGACTGCAGAATCCTGGCCTGATGATGTTGATCTTCTGTGCTGGACCATCCTTTTGGCCAGTGGCTGTTTAGTTTCCTCGATGTAAGACTGATCACAGCCCTCCTGACACTGAACAGCATACACAATATTACTCTGTTTGTGCTGGGGGACTGGATCTTTGGGATGAACCAGTCTTTGCCGGAATGTATTTTGGGGTTTAAAAGCCACTGGGACGTTATGTTTAGAAAATAAACATCTCAGTTTCTCTGATACTCCCTCAACATTCCTGAAAGCAGAGAAGAAACCCAAACAGGACTCCAGTCAGCCATCATGTGAAAAGGAAGAACCCAGACCAGTGGTCATTCCGTATGTTGAGGGATTATCAGAGAAACTGAGACGTTTATTTTCTAAACATAAAGTCCCAGTGGCTTTTAAAGGATTCTGCGGTCTACACTCATCTCCAGGCCAGCGGTCACTCTTTCAGGGAAGAAGATGTTCACATCCTGGACAGAGAGGAACGATGGTTTGAGAGAGGAGTGTAGTGAACTAAGCTTCCGGTCAAGACCTGCCTCTGAAGACCTTCATGGGACAGGAACTGTTATTTCATTGATTTGAATCCAGAAATACAAATTAGCTCATCCAGAGACTTTCTAATTGTATCCTGAACTAATCAATTGAAAGAACACTCTCTTTTTATGTTATCATTACTATTTTTACAATGTCTTGATAATCAAAAGTGTGTTTAGTTCAAACCATTTTAAATGTAGAAGTGAACCACTCATTTTAAATCAACTGTGAAACAGTATTAATGATTTTTTAATCCTCAAATTCCCAAAACTGCATTGGCAACTGAGGCTCCACCTATCACACTGTCTTGTGCCCATGTGCATCTGTAAATCAGTAGAAATCACTTTCATCTCTCTGCATTGTTAGAATAACAGTGATAATCTTACCTGGTAAAACCTGAACAGAAAGTGCTGCAGTTCCAAACTCGCCTGTTGTTGTGTCCACTGCCCGGAGCTGCAGGTAAATTAACAGCAAACAAGGTCAGGAGGTGAAAAAAGACCTCTTTGTTAAAGTTCTGTGTCAGTTACCTGAAGTGCGAATAACTCTGTCTTTACAACTCTCTTCAGGACAACAAACCCATCAAAGGTCACGTTGACATAGCTGCTGTACTGAACCTCATATTTCACATCTGGATTAACACCCTGTTCACACAAACATACATGCATAAATTCACAAAATGTATTTTTTTAAACTTTATATTTATCTTTAAATTGTTGAAAAAACAAGTTGAGTTTATAAAGCAACATTTGATCATACCTAAATCAAAAGTGTCCCTAAATGTGAGAGTGTAAATCTGTGTGTTTTATTTGTGTCCCTGTGATGGACACAAAACGTTGGTTACGTACTGTAACCCCAGATTCTATGAATATAGGCGTAGCCCTTTAAGGCTGTCGCTGATGGGTTTATCCCGTTATGCAGAGCATAAGCACTGAAAAAAATTAGTCCACGCCCACCTGCTGTGTGGGCCCCACCCGGTCCGTATAAATTACGTTAAGAGCGGGAAATCGGCTCCCAAAATAGCTTTTTTCTTCAGCCATTTAGGAGCCAGTGAGGCCCGACGCTTAAAGGGCTACGCCTATATTCATAGAATCTGGGGTTACAGTACGTAACCAACGTTCTATTTCATATAGGCTTCGCCCTTTAAGGCTGTCGCTGATGGGTTAAGGGCGAAGCGGATGTGGTCCTCGCCTCACTGGGTCCATTCGAACACAGTAAGAAGCGGAAGCTTGCCCAAAAAACGTCTTGTCACCCAGCTCCCCGTGTGCATAAACTACGCATCGCGTAATTATGTGCCATGCACAGACGCATGTTGTGTAACTATGCGTTCTGACAAGCATGAATACCCCGGAAAAACTTTCAACGGGAAGAGGAAGTTGAAAAGAGGGGGGGAGGGGGGCATGAACCAACTGGTTCATGGCTGAACAGTATAAACAGATTAATGTCCATGAATTGATAAATAATCAAATGAACTGATTGGTAACAATAATCATGAACTGATTAGTGACAATAGAACCAGAAACACAGACACGACTGTGACTGATAACAACATCTCACACTGTAATGCATGCAGACGGAAGTGAGCTTAAACAGAGTTCCATGAGAACAACAATATTCATTCTGTTAGAGCACTAAGGACAGAATGTGTCATGGAACGAGCCGTTACATCACGTAGGTAAAAGCGAATAAATGAGCAGGGTGTTGACCATGCAGCCGCAGTGCAAATGTCCTGCACTGACATACCATTATGCAGAGCAGTCGAAGATGCGATACCCCTGGTCGAATGTGCTTAGAGGTTAACAGGAGGCCCTAAATCTGATGCTCTGTAGGCTTCAGAAAAGGCCTCACACAGCCAGTGTGACAAGCGCTGGATGGATAACGGCGACCTGCAGAAGCATCTCTATAATGCACAAACAATTGTTGAATTTGAACGCATTGCAGCTGTGCGCGTTACGTAACACGTCAACGCCTGCACCGGGCAGAGAAGATGAACAGATGCTTCCCCTTCTGATCTGTGGGGGGGAAAAAACCCCTCCAACGATATCACTCTTGATTTAAAAGAGCTCGTGATGTTTTAGGCATAAAAGCTGGGTTGGTCTTAAATCAGCTGAGCTGCCCGTCAGCCTAATTCTAAGGCATGACGAAGCAACAGAGAGGGCAGATAATTACTTACCCTCTTAGCGGGTGTTAAAACCAGCAACAGGGCTGTTAAAAGAGACAAGAATTTAAATGAAACCTGATCCAGAGGCTCAATTGAAGCTTTGATCAGGGCTCGCAGGACCAGCGTTAAACCCACTGTGGAACAAGTGGGCGTGAAACAGGCCTACATCTCTGTACACCTTTTAGAAACCGCTTCATCAGCGGGTGATAAAAGCTGTTCTGTCTCCAAACCCTTTGTGGCAGGAAGAGATGGCTGCAATCGTACGTTAAAGCGTACTGAAAGCCAACTCCCTATCCATCAGCTGTTGTAGAAAAACAACACGCCGCCTAAAAGGCATGAAGTGGTCTCTAAACCTTCTCTGTACACCAGCGCTGAAAAGCCGTCCCCTTGATGTGTACAGAACTGTGGTAGATGCAGCACGTGAATCTTGAATTGTGCACACTATCTCCTGAGGGAGACCCATCCTCTAAGTGGAACCGCTCAGCGGTCAGACCCACCGGTGTTGACCTATTTCTGGGTAACTCTTGGTCGCTCCTCCTGCCTGAAGGAGAGCATCCTTCCTCCATGACAGTTCCACGGCGACCCAACAACAGACGTTGCAGGCCTGGGAACCATAGTGCGTTCACACGCCGGGAGCCACCAGGAGAGCTGTCAATCCCTCCTCTTGAACTCGGTTCATGGACCGTAAAAAACAGAGGAGGTGGGGGGAAAAGAAACGCGTAAAAAGCGTTTTGGGCCACCGACTGTGAGCAAATGCGTCCCCCCCCAGCGATGGATCGTCTCGCGGGCTCAGGGAAAACCGTAGTTGACATTGAGCGTTTTTCTCGCATCGCAAACAGGTCCACAGCTGCTTTGCCAACTTCTGCTGCGTCTGAAAACATCAGATCCGGATGGAGGATCCGGTCCACGTAACGTGGGCCGCCCTTGGACGTCACATCAGCCCCTCTGTTCAGAACACCGGATATGTAAACCGCTCTAATAAAAGCAGGTTTGATGAACCCAACTCAGTAGCTTTCGCACAATGTGTAACATCTGGGCTGAACGCACACCCTGATGGTTATGTACGCAGCAGTCATCATGATGTCTGTGTGAATCAACACGTGTTGATTCTGTAGCACAGGAGCAAGGTGTTGAATCACATTCAGTACTGTGCGACACTCCAAAACATTGATGTGGGCTGATGTGTAGTGGGGCCACAGCGCCCCTACTGCTTGAGATAGGCATGTCCCCCCCCCAGCCTGACAGCAACGTGTCCGTGAAGACTGACCCATGACGTGGGTCTGCTGAGGGGGACTCCCTCTGATAGAAAAACAAGGTGTTTCCCCAGAGTCGGAGGTCTGCTTCCACAGAGGAAAAGACAATGATCATCCGTCGTTTGTTTTACTGGATCCACATGCAGACATGCAAAAACACCTCTAGAGGCGTCTCATGTGATAAACGAGTTTTCATGGTGGTTGAATTTAATTCCACTCCAGAAAACAAATGTCTGGGCCGGGAAATCGAGCTTCCTTCCACTTTATGGCGAAGCCCAGATTAACAGGTGTGATGTCAACACCTGATCCTGCATCAGCGCCTCCTGTCTGAAGTGACAGGATCCGCAGATCATCCAGGTAAAACAAAAAACTCTCGTCTCTGTGTTTTAGGATGATCGGTATGCGTTCTCTGGATGTTAAACAACAGATCCAAGAACGGTCTCACCCCTCCGATCCGTGAGTAAAACCCTCGTGTTTTCTCTCCCTTGGGGAACTCTGTAGATTACTTTTATCAGAAAACACTTGGATTTCTGCATTTAGGGAAGAGAATCAGTCTGATGATGACGGGACCGTTTATATAACTCCTCTGAATGGAGGGGTTCGGATTGCAAACTGTAACTTGTACCATTTGCATAAACCCTGTCCATCCATCTGAAAAACGGCGAGCATGTTTTAGCCACTCTACGTAACGTTCGTGGATGAACGTGCGTTAATGATGCGTCATGTTTTGTACGGCTGTCAGCAGTCCGTCCCTCAACCGCCGTCATGCGTCGCGGGAATGTTTTCTGTGTGACCCCGGGCGAGACTTGAGCTGAAGGCGAAGCGTGTGACAGCTGATGACGCGGTGAGCTGCGCGTTTGACGTCGCTGTGCGAACGTTGAAAGGCGGAGGGCGTGACTTCATTTACACCGTGCTGTTGGAGTGAAGGCTGCTTAGCCCCGCGGGAGCACACGTTGTTCTCTGGAGGGACGCGCGCCGCTCTCGCTGGAGGGGCGCGCGCTGGAGGGAGGTGGGACTCATTAACGGGTTCTTCGGCTGCTTCACGTTTAAGCTGCGGTGAGCTGCCGAAAGCTGAGAGAGAAGGACCCCCACCCGGACCAGCCTGCGGACCACATTTATACCGATGTGAGCTGGTTAGCGCCGGCAGCTGTGTGCGCCAGCATCAACGCAGCACCGTTGGATGGAGGCTGTCATCTTAGTGTTCGACTCGTCATGTCAAGAGCGGCGGTGAATTAAAAACCCTATTTAAGGACACCGGCTCATGTGGAGGCTGTTCCATCTCACGAGTGCGAGTTGACACCGCTTGAGTGAGGATCATGCAGTTCTAGTTGGTAATGAGTTATTTTCGCTTACCGTTGTGCCGTGATCGACCCGTCATGTCTAGAGCGACGGTGAGTTTAAAAAACCTTTATTTAAGGACACCGGCTCATGTGGAGGCTGTTCTGTGATCGACTCGTCATGTCTAGAGCGACGGTGAGTTTAAAAACCTTTAATTAAGGATGCCGGCTCATGTGTGGAGGCTGTCCTGTGATCGACTAGTCATGTCTAGAGCGACGGTGAGTTAAAAACCTTTAATTAAGGACACCGGCTCATGTGTGGAGGCTGTTCTGTGATCGACTCGTCATGTCTTAGAGCGACGGTGAGTTAAAAACCTTTATTTAAGGACACCGGCTCGTGTGTGGGGCTGTTTCATCCCACGAGTGCGCTCTTATGTGTGCGGCCGCTGTGAGCTCGTCCGGGCTTACAGACTGGCTAAAAAACAGACACTTGGATCATTAATGATGATTTATTTCAACTTTCGTGTCACTTTTACACACACCCTCCGGAGACCGTCATTTGAGAGCTTTCTCTCTCATGAGCTCTGCGATTGTTTGCCCAGAGCGCTGTCTTGCAGGCGAACTCTGGGGAAACGCTGAGCTGCAGGCTGCCGGAGTGAAGAGGGCTGGATTCTGACGGGCGGGGCTGGTGGTGGAACTCAGCGAGAGCCGCGGCCGTGGAAAAGTCGAAAACTTGCTCGCGACGGTCCCTCCAGCGGGGACGGGGTGGGCCGCGCGGCTTGATGAGGTGGCGAACAGCTTTTGGCACCTCCTCCGACTGTTTCACTTCGCCAGCATGGTTTGAAGCTGCTCTGAACAGCGCGTCCGCGATGGGCTTCATCAGGTCTTGTGCAGATTCTCCGGCAGCGAGGGGAGTAACGAAGCCAGGTGGATCGTTGGGTCATCGTCCTCCG